ATTTATACAATGCTAGACATTTTAGATTTTAAAAAATGAATTTATACAATGCTAGAAAATTTTAGATTAAAAAAATTAATTTGTACAATGCTAGAAAATTTTAGATTTAAAAAAATGAATTTATACAATGCTAGACATTTTAGATTTTAAAAAATGAATTTATACAATGCTAGAAAATTTTAGATTCAATCAAAGTTATCAAAGTATTTTTTTAATCTAAAATTTCTAGCATTGTATGAATTCATTTTGTTGAATCTAAAATTTTCTAGCAACCGACCAAGGCCCGGACCTTTTAGGGATGGGATACGAGTCTACCCAGGCATTTAACCCCTCGGGTCTTGGTCGCCCGCCCTGCGTAATATATATTGGGGGTCCCAGGCATACAGGGCAAAAAGAAGGCTGATCAATTGGTCTGTTTATCTTCCTGAATACTATAGTGGCATACTAAATTGCCAAAAACGGACATCCATCAGACAATGGGTTAAGAATAAGTTCTCGTTTCAGTGGGAATTCCAAGACAAAGACATGAGAAAGCCCATTAAAGGATCATCGCAGAAGCTAACTACTAACTAAACCTAGGACCTGCTAGGATTAGAATGATAGTAAGACTACTGCCTGGACATGAGCAGAAGCAAGCCTGTGCAGAACATGCCCTCTTCTTGTCAAACCAAGGCCTGAAGCATAGCATGGAATCCTCAGCCGAACTTCGGTATCTATTTTCATACATCGTATTTCTTTTAATAGTAAATTTTTTAAGGTTTTTCCTTTCTTTTTTAAAGAGAAGCGCGCTTCTACGTGAAGAATCGAGTCTTCTGATCGAACCTGATTTATCCTTGAGTCGTTTGAGATTAAGGAGAAATCTATTGAGTTTGAGAGGGGAAGGGCAAGTGATAAGGGAAAGGGAACGACCGAATGAGACCTGTCATTATTTCGTCTAACGTAGTCGGTAAAATAGTCGCAGGTATGAACATGAGCATATTTAAAAACATATCCAGGATCGGTGCCAGGCTCCAGGCAAGGTCCTTCGCCACCGGGGAAGGCCTGGTAGATGTCAAAGTCAACGAAAAAACAGGTGGGCACTTATCAAAATAAAAATATATTTAATAATTTTTTTACAACTGATTTTTTTTTTTTAACCATGAAAAGCAGTTTTGTCCTGAGGTGGATTTAATATAAATGTTTTGGCTCTCTTCCTTGCTTTTAAACTGTAGAAAATTTGATTGGGGGACGGAAATAAATTTACTTAAATAGCTCTGAAGCCTAGGAAAAAATAGATCTGTAAAATACTGCGTTGATTAATTTTATAGTTTTTTTTATTACAATCAAGTTTGAATAAATTGTAATTTTTTACAACTAGTAGACCCAAAGGAAGTGAATTTGTAACAGAAACTATGATAAAAATTCACTTTCATTTTCAGGCTCGCTTTAAAAATTAAAATATAATTTTATATTTCTTACTGTGTTGTATAATAATTTACAGCAGGGCTTCTGAAACTTTTTATCTAGCGGTTTTGAACCTTTGCATTTTTTTTTGTGATGTATGATGGCGAAGCATAAAAGAGACACACTTGAGCATTAGGAGAGAAATCACTATACGATTAACATTGACCGATTTTCAACCCCTTCTTAAAGCAAATTTCCTCTATTTATTTATGCGAAAATGATTTGCTTCAAAACGTTTCCATTGCCAAGCAAAGAATTATAGCAAGATTGAGTCTATCGGGTACGGCAGCAATTAGAATATTTTATAACGGCATAGCATATTCCGTTGATAGCACACGGTAGTGCAGATGAAAGTAAAACCGCTAATTAAAAAAGTCAAAATATTATGCATTTTGCAAGATTTCACCTCAGAACCTATCGGCAGAACTTAAAGAAACAAATTGTAAAAAATTTTATATACTTCCCATACAACCTCAGCATGCATATACATACAATTTAGATGAAAATCAGAGAAAAAAACGCTAATTAAAAGAAATAACATTCTTACATTTCGCTAGGCTTTTCCCCATGACCGATCGGCAGAAGTTAGGGAATCAGACGATTCCAAATTTTATAAACTGTACCGTGAAAAATGACCTTGTCGGTCTAGATTATAATTCTTTAACCCAGAACTAGCTGAATATAAAGGAAAAATACTAATTTACTAGGAATAATATTCTAGCATTTTTCTACCCAGAACATATCGACAGAACTTGAAGAACCGTACAGTACCTAATTTGTTATATTTCCCCTTAAAAATGTTCTCAGCATGCATATACATGCAGTTTAGATAAATATCAGAGAAAAAAAACACTAATTAAAAGAAATGACATTCCTATATTTCGCTAGACTTTTCCCCAGATTTTATCGACAGAACTTGAAGAACCGTATTGTACCTCATTTGTTAAATTTCCCCTTAAAAATGTTATCATGCTATATATTTAACTCAAGTGATAAATATAAAGGAAAACACTAATTTACTAGGAATAATATTCTTACATTTCATAAGACGTTTATTCAAGAACTATTGGCAGAATTAAAAAAAAAAAATCATACCATTCCAAATTTTATATAAAATGCGTCAGTTTAGATTATAATCCTTTTCCCAAAACTAGCTGAATATAAAGGAAAAACGCTATTTACTATGAATAATATTCTTGCATGTTGCTAGACTTTTACCCAGAACCTTTGGTTGAACTTAAAGAAACTAATTTTTCAAAATTTTTCTATGTTATCCTTAAAAATACCTGAGTAGGCAATGTATGTAGCTCAGATGCATATAAGGGAAAAAATGCTAATTAAAAGAAATAACATTCTTACATTTTGCAAGGCTTTTCCCCAGATCCTACAGCCGGAAATTAAACAACCATTCCAAATTTGCTTGCTATATTTTCTCTTAAAAATGTCCTTAACACGCTATATATTTAGCTCAGATGATAAATATAAAGGAAAAAACACTAATTTATTAGGAATAATATTCTTACATTTCATAAGACTTTTACCCAAGACCAATCGGGAGAACTTAGGGAATCATACTATTCCAAATTTTATATACTGCCTCTGAAAAATGACCTTATTTGTCTAGATTATAATTCTTTCCCTCAGAACTAGCTGATTATAAGTGAAAAAGGCTAATTAACAAGGAATAAAATTCTTACATTTTGTTAGACTTTTACCCAGGACCTTTGACAGAACTTAAAGAACCATAGTTTTAAAATTTTTATATACTTCCCCTGCAAAATGACCTCAGCATGCATATACATACAGTTTAGATGAAACCAGGGAAAAAGCTCTAATTAAAAGAAATAACATTCTTACATTTTGCAAGACTTTTCTCCAGATCCTTTCGGCAGAACTTGAAGGACCTAATTTGTTATCTTCCCCATTAAAAATGCCCTTATCACACCCTTATCACTATATATGTAGCTTAGATGATAAATGTAAAGGAAAAATACTAATTTACTAGTAATAATATTCTTATTACTTTTACCCAAGACCAATCGGCAGAACACAATGAATCAGATTCCAAATTTTATTACTGTCCCGTGAAAAATTACCTTATCGGCTTAGATTATAATTCTTTCCCCCAGAACTAGCTGATTATAAGGGAAAAAGGTTAATTAACTAGGAATAATATTATTACATTTTACCAGGACCTATCAGCAAAACTTAACATTATATAACTTATTAATTAACTAGGAATAATATTCTTACATTTCATAAGACTTTTACCCAGGACCTATCGGCAGAACTTAAGGAATCATACAATTGAAAATTTATATACTATCCCATGAAAAATGACCTTATCAGTCTAGTTTATAATTCCCCCCCCCAGAACTAGCTGAATATAAGGGAAAAAGGTTAATTAACTAGAAATAATTCTTAAATTTTGCTAGACTTTTACACAGAACCTTTGACAGAACTTAAAGAAACAAATTGTTCAAAATTTGTATATCTTATCCTTAAAAATGACTTGAGAAGGCAATGTATGTAGCTCAGATGAATATAAGGGAAAAACACTACTTAACTAGGAATAATATTCTTACTTTCCACAAGACTTTTCCCCAGAAAAAATCTGCAGAACTTAAAGAACTGCACGATTCAAAATTTGTTATAGTTTCTCGTTAAAAATTATTTTAACAGGCTATATATGTTGTAAGATGAATAAATATGAAATACTTGGCTCAAAATTTATATTCACATCTGTATAGTATTATTTCCAAACAACAAATATTTTGTAATTCGCACAGGCCCTGAATGACCCGAATAAAGGTTGGCACTTCGGAAAAAAAAATGAAAAAGGTGTTTTTCTAAAATATTTTATTCCTGACCGTTCCTCACAAATTCAATGAATTCCTAAAAATAAAATAAGCTTTAATAGTTCAGATGGAATTCAGCTCACACCAGTATCCAAATATGTAACAATAAATGTTTTAGGGGTTGCCACTGTTTCGATGAACAGGCCGCCGGTCAATTCTCTAAATTATGATTTGTTGGAGACACTGTACAAGACTTTTTCCCAATTGGAGACTGACAAATGCCGTGGTATGATTCTGACCTCGGTAAGTGATTCTAGATTTCTCTTTTTTTTTTAAACTTATTTTTATCTTAATTTATTTTCTTTAAGACCTCGTCGAAAGTGTTCAGTGCCGGCCTTGACATCCTTGAAATGTACAAGCCGAATATGGACAAGGCCAGGGCATTCTGGGGCATGCTCCAGAACGTATGGATCAAGCTTTACTCATCACCGTACCCAACGTCCGCCGCCATCAATGTAAGCACTTACAAATATTAATTTTTGCATGTTTCATCAATACCAGTTTGCATATATTTGTGCACTTCATTACAATTATTTTCTCTTTTCTTCTTTCTATCTTTTTTATTAGTTTGTTTTTAAGAAAATCGCAGTGAAATGGTTTTTTTTATCACCTTTTTTCTACCCCTTTGATAATCTTGTAGTTGTCCTTAAAATGAATTTGTGAGTTTGTGTATGCTAGATTGTGTTTATTTTTTTAAAGGTAAGTTTTGTTACATAGTTTTTTTGTTTTAATACAAAGCATGGTTAAATTATGTATGTACTTATTTATTAAGCTGTTTTTTCTGTACTAAAAAGTTTGTTGTCATGAATAATACTTCTTTATAGCATGTACTAATGTTTATTGACTTTTGACTATGCTTCTTATTTTTTAAATTAATAATTTAAAAAAAAATGTTATCTTTATATTAATATTTTTAGGGTCACAGTCCAGCAGGTGGTTGTCTGCTGGCCTTAAGCTGTGAACACAGGGTAATTGTGCCCAATGTGACTATTGGACTCAACGAGACTCAACTTGGCATTGTTGCCCCACAATGGTATTTTTATTTATATTTTCAATTTTCACATGACACATATTAACATATTAACTCTTCTCTAGGTTTCAAGACTGCATGAGGAACACGATTGGTGAAAGGCAAGCCGAAAAAGCATTGGTCTCTGGAAAGATGTTCACATCGGACGAGGCGCTTGTCGTCGGCCTGGTCGACGAGCTGGCGAATGACAAGGACGAAGCAGTCAAAAAATGCGAGACTTTCCTTGAATCACAATCCAAACTGCCTTGTAATTCCAATTCTTAATTGAATTTATTTTAAACAATCTTTTTAATTTTATTCGGTTTTTTAGCCTTGGCAAGAAGGACAGTCAAGCTAGGCTTCAGAAACGACACATTGTCGAGATTGCTCAACGGAAGGGAAGCCGATACTAAATTATTCCTCGATTACATTTTCCAACCTAAAGTACAACAAGGGCTTGAAGTTTACCTCCAAAGCCTTAAAAAGAAATAATATATTTGTATTTGCATTTTTTATAGTAGTAAATGTCTATTTTTGTATTAAACAATTTGTTCGATTTCCTTGAAGATTTCAAGATTTAGACTGAAAAAATCTGTTATAATTTAGTTAAACACTTTTATATTATACTTGTATACTGTTGCATAAACATAAATAAAATGATTTCATACCCTAACACTGCTTGAATCGGATTTTTTAAATTTTCCCATGATTCACTTTTTCTTAGTGCTAACTGTATTTCTATTATTATTAATGATAGATTGTTCAAAAGAATGTGATCAAGTTGTCAGTCTCTTTACAATCTTGCACACTATGTCCAATAATGTATCATCATTGCTAGCTCTCTTTGCTAAGCTTATTTTTACCAGGTCCCAAAGTTTTGTTAAGGACTTTTATATGCTTCAGGCCTTAGCTTTTCCTCTGCCAAAACTTTTTTTATAATTCTCTGTGATGATTTTTAGGATGTAAACTGGCACAGAACAAATCTTATTTGAATGACATGGAAAGTTGTGTGTAGACGAATCCAGTTCCAATTCACTGATCATTAAAATAACAACACAAAATTATTGCTGCGATAAATGATGCTTGGATTCAAATCCATGGTACCTAAAATAGTCGGTGAATGAATGCAAAATTTCCGAAAGAAAAAAACAACAACCTGACTATGTCCAGGCCATAAAGGATTTTTGGGGGATGGACAAGCTGACAAACTGGACAGAAGAAGGACTGTATAAGCCCAGAGACTATATAGTTAACCTATAACATTAACTCATAATCTATAATTGGAATAAAAGGATCAAAAGATTCCTCTCAAATTTCCAAAAAACAACAATCTGACAATATCAGGGTCATAAAGGATTTCTGGGGGATGGACAAGCTGACAAACTGGACAGAGGAAGGACTGTATAGTCCCAGAGAGTACATAGTTAACCTATAAAGTTAACCTATAACCTATAATTGGAATAAAAAGATCAAAAGACTCCTCTCAAATTTCCAAAAGACAACAACCTGACAATATCCGGGTCATAAAGGATTTCTGGGGGATGGACAAGCTGATAAACTGGACAGAAGAGTAACCATATAGGCCCAGAACATATATAGTTAACCTATAAAAGTTAACCCATAACCTGTAATTGGGATAAAAAGATCATAACATAAAAAAATTTAAAAAAAAACCCTGGCAATATCCAGGGCCATAAACGATTTCTGGGGAATGGATGAGTTGACACACTGGACAGAAGAGGAACTAAGTAGGTCTAGATATATTAAATGGGACAAAAAGACCAAAAGGCACCACTGTCTCAGAATGTGTAAAAGAAAGAGAATTGTACAAATTCCACAGGTCAGGCAGTTAACATGAGATTAAGGAATCCTCACCACTACTGGCAAAAACAAATAGGATAAAACTTAGGGGTGTTGGGGATATAAAGAAGTCGCTATCATCTGGGAAAACTCCTAAACTTACATAAATAGGTTAGGAGGAAGGAATTGCCATCCTATAAATATATATTATGCAGGGTGGGCGACCAAGACCCGAGGGGTTAAATGCCTGGGTAGACTCATACCCCATCCCTAAAAGGTCCGGGACTTGGTCGGCTCACATGTCCTGCATAAACCTCTTGGACTTGTTCACAAACCCCAAGATTTTGGACCATTTTATCTCGGGGTGTGATTTGGTGATGTCCTCTCCTTCAAAGATTTCAAATCTTCAATTGCCATCTTATCTTCGAATGCAAAGCAACCGGTCAATGGTGAAATAACTTTAAATATGAAGAAGCTTATGGAATAACAAACTCTTCCTCATATCTTTCTCGTCATCATAAATAAGCCTTAAAAATACCAATAACAACAAATTGTAAAAATTGTTTTGTTTTGCATGTTGCAAGGTTATTTTAATTTTTTTTTCCATTAGGGACACAGCCCTGCTGGAGGCTGTCTGCTTTCACTCTGCTGCGAGCACAGGGTCATCGTACCAAACGTGATAATCGGCCTGAATGAGACCCAAGTTGGCATATCTGCACCAGAATGGTAATTTGATAATCAGTTAAAAATTTGATCCATCAAGCTGGAAATTGCCGATTTCAGGGTGAGGGACTCGATGAGAAATGTAATCGGCCAGAGGAAGGCTGAACATGCCATCTTGACGTCCAAGCTGTTCACTTCTGAAGAAGCGCTCGCTGTCGGCTTGGTCGATGAAATAGCAAATGATAAAGCTGAAGCTTTAGAAAAAAGTCAAATGTATCTAAACTCACAGCAAACCTTGCCTCGTAAGTTTACATGAAACTCAATCTAACTAATTAAATACTGTCAAAAAATGTAGAATTTAATTTATTTGTTTAAGAATTGGCTCGGGTGGCAACAAAGGCGAGTTTCAGAAGTCAAACATTAAACAATATGCTGAGAAAACGAGAGGAGGACCTTAACTCATTAGTAAATCAGTTGATGGAACCAAAAGTCCAAGAGGCTCTCGAGAGTCAGATAAACCGTTTAAAAAAACCAAAAAAATAAAACATTTCTTTTTATTTGAATATAATGTGATAGAATAAACATAGTTTTACAAAATCAATCAATTTGGTCTTCGTCCTCATTATTCCACGATCCAATGTTTCAGACACCAACTTCACCAAGAGAACAAAATATTGCTTGGGTGTGTTCCTAAGTGGCAGAGGCTTTTGAAAAGTTCTGTAACTCAGATATCCTTTAGAAACTTAAACGTTTCCCACCCACCCTTTAAAATTATCTTATTCCGGAATCATATTTGATCACTGCTTCAGAATGAGATGCAGTGACAATACTGAGATTTCAGACTAATTACAAGCTGGTGTCCCACAAGGTCGCTTATTTGGTTCCATCCTGTATGCCATTTACACTGATGACTTTTCTATACAACCCGTCATCTAACCAAGCAACCTCCAACAACACCATGGGTATATCAAAGACTTGTTCAAAAAGTGGAGGACAAGACTGAAAAATGTCGTGCCCATCACTGTACATCAACAATGATAAGCAACTGACTTTAATTCAAGCTACTTAGGGTTGTACCTAGATAAAAGGCCTGGAACCACTCAAAACTAATTTTTTATTTATGAAGACTTCTAGGACCAAAATCCCTGTTGACACTAAACTAACCTTGTACAAGATTTTGCCAATACCACTTTGGACATGCAGGGTGGAACTGTGTGGCTCCATCAAGTCATCCAATATCCAGCTCATTCAATTCTTCCGAGAAAATTCCTCTGACATATCGCCAAAGCTTATTACTACTTCAGTAACCTCACCGTCCACGCCCTCATCATTTTTTATTACAAGCTGTTCTATTCTTGCTTCCAAAACTTCCAAACCAACATCTCAATCCATCCTAACACTACTGCCCAAGACTTATCTACATTTTACCAACCTGAAAACCTTCCATGCTGTGTTAAACCATGAGACCACCTCGCTCCTTAATCCCTTGTATTGGGTGCCAGCTTTGACTCTCTTAACCTGTGTTCACCGGGTGCAATGCAGGCTATAGTGTCAGTATTGTCGAAAAAAACATTTACATACACTTGTATTATATTGTAATATGTACAGGCTATAAATAAATTATATAAAAAAAGTTTGACAAGATTAATCGCTTTCAATGTAAGACTCTTCAGAATCCTCGGATGGCCCGTGACCCGGCGAGCTCCACATCTCCCAGATCGTGTCGGCCATGTGATCAGCGCATATGCGTATGTTGTTGATGAACCTGGACACGTTTCTGGTCACTTCGACCTGGAAAGCTGCAATGTCGAGCTCATCTTCAACGAGGACTGCAGAACCTTCAGACCAACACTCTTCGTCGTCGCGTTCTCTCCTCTTCTCTCCGACTGCCTCTGGTTTCTCCTGAAAATGAAATTTCTTAAGAATAAAATTGCAAAAATGTTATACTTTTAGGGTGTTGAGTAAAATCATTTCTGTCAGACTGGAGGGATTAACGTCCATGTACCTGTTGGGTGATGTGAATTATTTTCAATTAAAAGTTAATGGGCTATGATGGGATTCGAATGTAGAAATGCTAGTGTGGCATGAATAATACGCTCTGAGCCACCGTGGTCCCAGCTCTGAATGTTAATCAAATTTTCTTTCTTAGACATAATTCACACCAGAAATTGACTGAGTTGATTTCTATTTAATAAAAAATACATCTAACAACTAAAGTATTAAGAATAAAAAATAAAAAATTCATTGAAATTGTTTAATATTTTAATATCTCTCGACTTTAAACATGGATGCAGGTGTGTGTTTGGCCTTGAAAGACTGTGTAATTTTCCTCATTCTATCGTAGAGTTCTTGGTCTGAAAGAGGTGGTTTTTCGACTTCGACTGGCACTTTTACAGCTATGCCGCTTGTGAAATAAGACAGTGATCTCGCTGTGACTCGACTTACTTCTTCCATGCTCTCAGGGAAGATTTCCTTTTCAAAGTCCAAGTTCGTTAGATTGTTAATAATCCTATCCATTTCTTCGTACTGCTGCCTGTAGTTGCACAGGGCCTCTTTGCGCTCGTTAAATATGAACAGTTCATTGTCTACGTCGAAAGATTCGACTTCATCGATCATATGTTTGCTCTCTTTCTCCGCCTGTTCCTCTTTGGACTGCTTCTTCTTCCTGCGTATTTTGTCTCGGCGGATTCTTTCTTTCCTGTCAAACTCGTTGCGCTGGTTGAGCAGCATCTTCATCTTGTCGTCGAGGTTGCGTTCTTTCTTGCTCATCTTGAGCCTCATTAGCTCGTTGGTCCATTTCGGTTCTACCTTGGTCATGTATGTAACTGCATCCTTGATGTAAGACTTGGTCTGTTTAGACCAGTCCAGCATATGGTGGTCCATGAAAAACTGTATTTCAAGAACAGCGCTTCTATTTCTGTTTATTTCACACCTAAAGAAAAATTATTATGAGTATATGATAAAAGATAAAAGAAGAGACATACTGATTCAAATCGTTCAAAAGAATTTTCAACCATGACTTAAGCTTGTCTAGAATCTCTTCTTCTTTGTTGTCTATCAGTATTAAGTGATTATCATGCGAAGTAGAAATGTAGTTGTTCAAAGTTTCTTTATTCAAAAGTATCTGAAAAACCATAAATGAATACACGAGCTTTGAAGAATTATTGAAAATACAGACACTTCTTAGATAAAACGGTAGAGAAACAGGGCTCTCGCCTTTTGACTGGAATTCGGCGATGTACCGGTTAATCTGGTCGGAAATCCCATCGCAGAATTCTGTCTCGGTGTCTCTCATCCGCGTAAACTCTTCTTGTACAAAATCAATGAATCTGTGAACCATTTCGGTTATGTTGGTGTCAAATATGGCCATCGATCCCTGAAAACAATCAACTTGAAATGTAATATAAAATTAACGTTTTTTTTAAAGCGAACCTCGTTTCTCTCGTTTCTACGCATCTCTTTTTCCATGAGAAGCCACCAGGTCTTCCTGCATAGAAAGGTGTAGTCTTTGTCGATCAGTAAGATTTTTTTCATGCTGTTCCTTACGAACGCCTCCTCCCCGTTTCCGTTGTTGTAAAGCTCCTTTATTTGACTGATGCATTTCACTTTCATGTTGATAAAATCTCGTACAAGCCTGAAATTTTTTTTTATATTTATTATTTTGAAAAAAATCCAAAACAGGAAAATAATAAATGTTGATTTACTCACGCTCGACTTTCAGCTAAACTATCGACCATGCTATCTTTATAATAATTGCCATATTTTGTCAATTCTTCAATCCTGATAGTGTACTGTTTCTCACCAACTGTGAATAGACGCTTGCTTATATTGTTCAAAGCTTCTTTAAACCTAAAAAAAATTAAACAATTAAAAATTAGCCGTTTATAAATTAATTTTTACACCAAATAAATTTTACTTGTGGAAAACTTCTTTAACCCTGTCGCTAATCTTTATAAGCGTTTTGCCTTCGTTGTCGTTCTCCATGAGGTATTCGTAAAAGTTAGACCTTTCAAAACTATCGATGCAGGCTCTTTTGAGATAATTCTCCCTTTCGACGCTTTTGATATCTTCTGCTATTTTTGCTTCTTGTTGTTCTTCATTTTTCTCCAATGATTTCAATATAGCACTGCATGTTAAAAAAATAATGGATATTTTCAAAGGGTAAAAGTTAATTGGTATATTTACTCGTATTTATGCCTTGCTGTGATCCTTTCTTCTTTCTTGAGTATAAAGTAATTATAGTAGACCAATTGGGGTATAAACCCAGCCACGGCTAGTCGGAAATTTTTTATCTCTTTTTCGCAAGGGTTTCCTTGGAGGTTGAGGCACCTCAAATTTTTGAATATCCTGAGATACTGAAGCTAAAAACCATTTACATTTGATTAAAAAAAAATATATATATATATAAATCAGTCATTACCACAAACTTGGCATCTTTGATCTGGTTCTGTCCGAGAGAAAGTACTTGCAGGTTTTTGAGAGCGCTCAAGTTCTTCAGCTTTGTTATTCTGTTGTTGAACAATGAGAGCCTTTCGAGTTTGACGAGTTTCTAAAAAAGAAATTTTCATTTAAGATCCAAGTCGAATCTTCCGCGACGTATCGAATAATAAAATTACACTGAGATTTTTAATTTTTGAGATCCTGTTGAACGAGAGGTTGAGCTCGATGAGATTCACCAATTCGTCCAAATGTTCGATCTTCTCGATAATGTTGTTTGACAGCGATAAAGTCACGAGATTTGAGCACATCCATAGATGGTCTATCTTTAAAATATCTAGGACACAGGTGAGAAAAAAAATTAATATTAGTTGTTTTGATAAATTTAATATTTAGAAAAATTTTAATTAAAAATAATCTGGCTTTTTTTTTTAAATAGCCAAATTTCACATCCAAAATCAGGGATAAGGCCAACTGGAAATACTCAGCTATTCCGCTGAGTTTTCAAAAGATAATCCCCTTGGTCACAACCTATAATTAATAATTAACAAAAATATGAACATTTTTGTTAATTATTGACAATGAGTGTTTCCTTTTCAATTGGCTTTTTTCCTATTTTTAATAGAAAATTTTAATATTTAAGGCTGATAATAATTATATCAGAGGTATTAAAGTTTAAAAGATTGTTTTGAAATATTTTTGTTTTAACACTAAGTTACAAAAAAAAAATTCACTTTCTATACTAGGGAGGAAAATGTAAGGCCATTGGCACTTTGGGCATCTGAGAGGATTGACTGGGAGGGTCCAGGATGTTTTTGGTGTTCAACTATGGGGTTGGGATGAAGGTCCAGGGTTTTATGACGGTGTCTGTGAGGTAGAGAGCTTGGGCAATGGTTCAAAGGATTTTGGACTGAAATGATTGGATTCTTTAAAGTTTAGAACGCTTGGTTGAACCTCACGGTTCAATTCCGTACAAGATTGGTTGTAGATTCGATCACTTGACAAGTATCTTTTTGGGTAGTTTATATCATCTGTTCATTTCTTTTCTTTTAGGTCGAGTGAGGGGGTTCCAAGAAAGTCTTTTGTTGATGTAAAGTCCCAAATTGGATGATATCGGTTACTGGAGAGAAACAGAGAGGTAGTGGATTGGAAAAGGTCATACAGTGAAGGCTATTAGCTGAGATTTGCAATGAGTCGGAGCCTCCATTCCAAATAGAAGAGATGGCCCTGGAGGTTTCTGAAGACCACTGCTGGAGTTTGCTGAAAATTCTGCATATGTGAGGAGAACTGTATCGGGACTGGTAGATAACCAACAGGGTATATTGAATAAAGAATGGGACCAAAGATGATGCCTTGCAGAAAACCCGGTTCAGCATGATGGGTGGTGATGTAATAAGTGAATGGAAGGATAGGCCATCGCCTTGAGTTTCTAGAGCAGGCTGGGTACAACACTCGACCGAACGCCTCACGATGATGTTTACTTCACTGTGGCACTGACGAATTGTAAATTATGGAATGACATAGCTATCCAAAATGGGATACAGGTTTTAGGGGTTTTTCAAGGTGTGTGGTTTTTAGGGTTTTGGAATGGATTTTGTGGTTGATATTTTTCCATTGGATTGAGAACTAGGTAGTTCTAAGGTCTTGTAAATGGTGGTAAGGCAAAAATATAGCTTTTTAAAGGGAAGATTTCAGAGGATGTTTCTAGTGAAAAAGTCAAAACCAGAGGATTTTTTTTAAACTGAGAGGTGATCCCTGAAGAATTTTTTGGCCTCTAATGGGGTGAATTTACATATTTAATTAATTTAAAAAAAATATTTGTTATGAAGATTTGGAAATTTCAGCTGATCAACAATTTTCAAATTTTACTGCATATTTTATCTGTATACAAAATGTCTGTCAAAAAATAATTTAGGCTTTTTTTGATAGATTTTCTTTTGCAAAAAAATGTTATCTTACTGTAATATTCCAGGTTTAGGAGGGTGATTTGCTGGAAGCTGGAAGGATCTTTGCCTAGGAGTGCCACGTCCGCTAATTCTTTGTTCCTGTCCTTTTGCCGTTTCGAATGGGTAAGACCTTTACTTTCGAGGAGGGCCTCCTGGATGAGCTGGTTGTTGATGACGGTCGGCTCCCTGTCGACTGTCACCAGCATGTGCAGTGCCTCTTCGGCCGTCAATACCTCCTTCGAGCCGTCCCGCCTGGGAGAGGTCATCATCGCACAGTTTCCGACCGAACTCATTCCGACCTACAGGATCTTCGGCGTTTGACAAACCGGTCGATGTCGTTATGGAAATGACGGGAACGGCGTTTAACTCGAGAGATGACGCCACGCGATGGAAAATCGCCCGCGGATGACCGAACGGCCGGGTGTCTTTTCAAAATGGCTCAACTAGCCGGATTTCATCTTTGAAATCGTCTTTTCACAAAATTTGACCTAAATACTAGACGATTTCTGCATGAAAAAGAAAATGCCGCCGTTGAGATGCTGTTATGACAATGGAGATCTACAGATAACTTTCAGCTTAATGGAAACCCCTAAAACCTTTAAACTATGAGAGATTTTGCAACAAGAACCAGAAACAACAGTTCAAAAATAAAAAAAATATGTTTAGTCAAAAAAACTTGTTTTAAATATTACTTATCTAAAAAAATATGTTTAAAATCATAAACAAATAATATGTTATCAAAAATCTGATATCTTCTAAGGTACACTTTGGCCAAAGACAGTTTGTATTGACTATTATGTCTTGGCTCCATATAGAGAGCATGTAGGCCGACAATTGCTCATGAGCAAACCAGTCAATTTTTCTTGAGGTAGCACAGGCTTTTGCAGTAAAGACACTCATTACTGAACTGAGGTTAGCATGTCTGTGCATCACTTACTGAATTACTGGTGCTGGAACTTTGAAGAATCCTCTTTTAATTTTGCGCTATGTTCTTGAGCTGTAGATTCAGAAGCACCTTATCAAAATCATCAAACCAAGTAAGAATCAAGGGAGCCACCTAAGGACTGTTCAATATGTTAACAAGCCAGTAAATTGCTTCTAACGCACACCAACTTTTAGGTCTAACCCGGTTTATTTGTCTCGTACATAATCATTATGTCTTGGCTCCATATAGAGAGCATGTAGGCCTTATTAGGGTTTTGCCTCCCTTTTCTGATTCTTTCCAGGATTACCTTTTATTTGGCTCGTTCGATTGCCATTTTACGCCTCTGATGAATCAGTCAATTATTTTTAACCCATACATGTTTAGCTATCATAATTGACCGTATTAATAATTTCAATAAATTATATTTTTTATCATAGCTCTTGGTTAGGATGAAAATTTAGTGTCACGACCGGGATTCGAACCCACGACCTTCGGCTTAATACGCCGCTGCTCTAACCTGAGCTATCGTGACTTCACGACATGTCACATTGAGTACATAAACGTTTCTTTTTTTAGTTAAAAAAAAAATTGGGTTTAATTGGATTTCCTGCCAATTTGGGGGCTGGTGGGTGGAGCTTTCATGTCTGTCTTTTCTTAAACAACGCAATTTCGCCTTAATATTTCACTTTTTATGATTGGGTTGTTGTTATTTGTTATCTGTAAAAACACAGCTTGATGATTCATACTTTTTTCTCGATAACTCCTTCGTTAGTTATTGTTCAGCAATCAATTAGCAACGCTTGTTGGCATGGTGACCGGTTTCCTTTTGACACGGTGTTTTATTTCGCAATTAAAGGCAAACTTCAGTTTTTAAGGTCTACCCTTCCTTCTTGGGTATATCTTCAAGAATTAACACTATTTTCACCTCTACATATCTCTCTCTCTTTGAGATGGACGAGTGAGTGAGTGAGTGAGTGAGTGAGAGAGAGAGAGAGAGTTTTTATATTTTATGTTGGTATCTATCTATTGTATCTACGACATATTTGTTATTTCCAAATATTTTGGTCCTCCGGGCCGGATTGCAAAAGTGAATTTTTTCCTACCCCTCTTATTAACTGTCAGACTCTTTCAGTTTCTCTCTTCTTGTCACCGTCTCATTTTAGAGGTGCTTTCAGGACTTATAAATAATGTGTGAATCCGTCATAAACATTTTCGCCAATTTGTCATAGAGATTATTTGTTTTTAAGTGACTTCTTCAGCTTGTACCGGTTCAGTATTTACTTTTGTATTTACCAATAAGATTATTAGTCCAGTTAAGATTGGCAAATTGAGAAATTAAAAATAACTGTGGTTTATCGAAAAACGGCGAAACGGAGCGAACCGCTGACAACCAATTTTGAACGGGCCAAAGGTCAAAAAGTAGAATCAGCTCTTCCTGTAAATTTGGATATGTAGAGAATAGGTGATTGCCAATGGAAAACCAGCAAAACCGAGCGGACCATTGAAGCTCATTCTTATAAAAAATGACGGTTGAAAAGCCTACAAAACACATTGAAAAATTGAAAAAGCCTATATGGTTTTCAGAGGAAACAGGATTGAAAAGGGAAAACCAGCAAAACAGGACGGACCAGAGAAGTAAGACTCCTTTTTTTATTAGAAGTTTTATTTTGGCAAACTTTAGACTTTTCTAGTGAAGCAGAGTGAAAATGGAAAACCAGCGAAACCGAGCGAACCAGATGATACACAAAACGAATATTTAAAAGTTCGTAAAATATATTAAAACAAATTTTTACGCTATTATTAACAAGTTCTTCTAGATGAGTCTTTTACGTAACTAAAGTAAATCCAGCGAAACCAAACGGACCATTGAAGGTTATTTTTAAGCAAAATAACGACTTCTATAAAACTTGAAAAAAGAGGCTTCAAGACATTTTCAACAAATTCATCTACAGAACCATTTTGTCAAGGGAAAACCAGCGAAACAGGGCGGACCAGAGAAATAAGAAAGCCTAGGCCGAAAGGTATATAGGACAAATAGAAAACTTGAACGGAAAGCTTCACGCCATTTTCAACAAATTCGTCTGGCTTTGTCCAAATACCTGTTTTTCTATAGAATGATGTTGACAACTGAAAACCAGCGAAACAGGGCGGACCAGAAAAGTAAGAAAGCCTAGGTCATCAAGTCTATAAAACATGGTGAAGGCATGACAAAACAATAGGCTCGACTGCTTTTTGTAATATGTGCTTGATTCGGAGAAACTTTGTAGTTTTGTATTGAAGTAGAGAATTGGAAAACCAGCGAAACCGAGCGGACCAGAAACGATTCAATTTACTAAAGACAAAGAGCGAAGGTAGAACGTACTGTGAACATCCATCATAAAATTTCGGACATGTCGGTAGAACAGGATTGATAGAGGAAAACCAGCGAAACCGAGCGGACCAGACATGATTATTGCTTTAGGAACTGACATTATTTAAAGCCCTTAATTGATGTGAAGCAAAGGTCAAATACAATTGTTTGGAAAAAACTTAAGACATGTCCAAAGGACGATATTGAGAACGAAAAACCACCGAAATCGGGGATGATTAGGACAACTGGCTGAAAATTTTTTACCCAGTCGACAAAAGTCGCGCTTTTATCTAGCACAATAGAGACAAAGTAAAACCAGCGAAACCGAGTGGACCGGTCAATCCATTATAAACCAGCCAGCCATCTGCCTACACAATCTGATGAATTAATTATGATCACGATTTTAAATATACAGAGTGTCTTTTTTTCACCATGCGCCAGCAGGTTTTACCTATTTTATACCCAGATACCAAAAAAAGTGACCAATGTTAACCCCTTACATTTTCGCGCAGATTCCAAAACCAAAACCAAGCGAAACTGTGCGGACCAGAAACGATCATTTTTTCAAGAACTGACATTATTTAAAGACCTTAACACTTGGAAACTCAAGGCAATAATTATATTTCTCAAATACATCTGTTTGGAACACACTTAANGATGACGATTTTAGGATCTGCGCAAAAATGTAAGGGACCTTTGATTACTTTTTTTGGTATCTGTTCAAAAAATCCTAGAGCTGTCTATTTTGGAGGTCAGCTAAAGTTTTTATACTTGTTCTTCTCAGAAAATTTAAAAAGAAAATCTTGATTTCCAATTTGAAATAAAAAAACGACATTTTGATGACGATTTTAGGATCTGCGCAAAAATGTAAGGGACCTTTGATTACTTTTTTTGGTATCTGTTCAAAAAATAGGGAAAACCTGCGCATGTTAAAACATATACTTTGTGGATGACTGATGATTTTCATGAATACTACTTCTCAGAAAAATCTCAGAAGGATTGATGAGAAAGATCATCTAATTTATCATGATGTCATGAAATCAAATTTACGGCCCTGCGTTATTTATTAATCAGTGTAATTTTTCATATAAATTTATTGGCTTTGTTCAAGATGTAAATAATTGGTTTAGAGTTGTGTATCGCTAGAATTTCTCTCGTCTCAAGACGGAAGGAGACGCCCTTCCTCTCGGATCGATAGTTTCATTATTCAAAGGCGAGGGATGCCCACTTTGTCCTCACATCTGGCGAGCTTTCGGCCGCACGATTGGCCCGCCCGGGGAATTGACGCCTAATGAATAGTGTACACTGGGAAAATCTAATTTGTAGCGAATGTTTTAACCCAGCCGGAGGAATTCGTCGGGGGCGGACATCTGCCCCTCTGAACCCCCGGCCGCCATCCGACACTGTTCGCTCTGAGAGGGGGCGGCTCGAAAAAACCTGGATTAATCACGAATCCCCTTTCTAGCTGGTGTATCCGAGCTACTAACGAATTTCAGTAATGATGAACTAATTGACTAACGAAAGACAATCTAGGGTCCGCTCGGATTCGCTGGTTTTCCGTCCTCAATCGCATCCTATGGACATGTCTTAAGTGTGTTGCAAGTAGTTATATTTTGAGTAATATAATTATAACATGGAGTTTCCAGACTGTTAAGCACTTTAAATAATACCAGTTCTTGAAAGAAAAATCATCTTTGGTCCGCTTGGTTTCGCTGGTTTTCCGTCCTCAATCGCGTCCTATGGACATGTCTTAAGTGTGTTGCAAGTTGTTATATTTTGAGTAATATAATTATAACATGAAGTTTCCAGAGTGTTAAGCACTTTAAATAATACCAGTTCTTGAAAGAATAATCATCTTTGGTCCGCTTGGTTTCGCTGGTTTTTCCTTTCTCATTCACGTCCTATGGAACACGTCCTCATTCACGTGTTAAGGTTGTTGGGAACAGGTGTATCTTGAGTACTATAATTATAACGTGGAGTTTCCAGAGTGTTATGGACTTTAAATAATGTCAGTTCTTGAAAGAATAATTATCTCTGGTCAGCTTGGTTTCGCTGGTTTTTTCGTTCTCGATCGCGTCCTATGGACATGCTTTAAGTTGTTCCAAACAGTTGTATTTGAGCCGTATAATTATAACGTGGAGTTTCCAGAGAGTAAAGGACTTTAAACAATGTCAGTACTTGAAAGAATAGTCAGTCATCTTTGGTCCGCTTGGTTTCGCAGGTTTTTCCGTTTTCAATCGCGTCCTATGGACATGTCTTAAGTTGTTCCAAACAGTTGTATTTGAGAAATATAATTATACCCTGGAGTTTATCGAGTGTTAAGGACTTTAAATAATGTCTGTTCTTGAAAGAATGATCGTCTCTGGTCCGTTCCGTTTCGCTTGGTTTTGGTTTTGGAATCTGCGCGAAAA